AGATGCAAGATATAGAAGTTGCTGAGGTAAAACTTTCAAATATACATATACAGAATTGAGTTTTTTTTGAACAAACAAGACAGTGTTGGTGCAGCTTAATTTCTGAGTTTCAAATTGTTTTCAGTGAGAGGTTTTTGCTTGTTATATTTTTCAGCTGTTACACAGAATCTTAAATACAGTTTCTTAGAGGATAGCGTTGTCTTAGTTCTTCTGGGTTTCTCTCTTCAGAGGTATAGGTTTTTCCTTTAGATATTATAGCCTTCCAGTCAATGTTCCCTCTAAGCTGTGGAGTCTTGTGAGCAAAAATTCTACTTTCTGAGCTACTGGCATTAAAGTTGTGAGCAGGTGATTTGGCTACTGCATAAATTAGTCTGCTCTGGAGCCATCCTTCCTGAGTGAGGACAAAAATGGGTGAGCCGGAGGCTAAAACACTGTGAGCTAGCTCACACTAACTCAGCTTAGAGGGAACACTGCTTCCAGTAACTCTTGAGGTATCTAAGCTCTTCCCCTTTATCACAGACCAGGGTTTTCTTCCCAACCTCTTCCTACTGGCTAGAAGTTCTTGTCCCTAAGAAGCAGTAACTCCTTTTCCTATTTGTCTTGTCCGGGAGTTCTCTCTGACTCCTCAAACCTCCTGCCAAATCCCTCTTTTAAGTACTGTATGTCTGAATAAAGCAGTACTGTAGCTTTCTTGACTGAGAATCTGAATTCTCCTTCAGAGTAGTTTTTAATATATTTTAGACAATGGAGTCTCTCTTCTTGTCTCCCTATAGAAGTACTTTTCTGACAATTCCCTGACAGAAATCTCTGACTCCCAAAGTCGTTTCCCTCAGAAGCCAAACCCTCTGGCTACTGACCCAGGCATTAGATTACGGACAATGACCAAAAGTGACTCAAAAGGCGAATGAATCTTTTCTGTCCAGATCAGCTGTTTTATTTCCTCTCTCAGCTGATGCTGTTGAATCAGAGAGTGTGGGTAGAACAGCCAATCACATAAGCTCTTATCTCCAGGGAAGATTAACTCTTGAACTCCCCGACTCTCTGGCACAAGCAGAATTTTAAAAAGCCTGCTTTTCTGTGCAATCCATCACAGCTGGATTTAACTTTGACCTGTAATTAGGGTTGCCAGGCAACTGGTGGGAGGGTCGGGAAGTGGGAACAAGGATGCTAAACTATAGAGTTTCTGGCAGCCCCTGTCTGTAAAGGGTAGTGAATGAACAATGCCATTGTGTTCAAATGTGACACTCAAAATGATTTTTGGTGCTGCATAGGGGCTGAGTATACGAGACACATTATTGTAAGGTGTCCTGAAGAATCAAATGTGGAAGCAGGGATTTTTTTGTAGACAAAGTCCAGCAGGAACTCATTAGCATAATAGGCCACACCCAACAGTAGAAACTCATTAGCATATTAGGCCACACCCCTGACAGCATGGCTCATTGGCCTATTAGGCCACACCCCATGCCTTCCCTTGGCTTGCCTGGGTGCCACGCGGCTGCAGGGTTCCCGGGCAAGCCCCCCCTTGGAAGGGAGGAGAGGCAGTTTAAACTGCCTTCCCTTGGGCTAATTTGAAAGCTTGCTTTACTTCTTCTACCAAACTTTTGAAACTGTTCCCATGCGAGCACTCCGGTTTTAGTATCTCCATCCATCTCCTCACACTTCAATCCATCAGGTTCAACTATATTTCAAAATATTAAGCTTCTTAAAGGGTAATGGCACTTTTAGCAGAAAATTGTCTCTTACCCCCTTCAAGTTCGTCACGTCATTTAAAATCCCAAACACCTTTCCACGGCCGGTTTTTCCTTATTTCCCCCTTTTTTTTTAATAATCTATTTATTAATTTCAACACATATCAAAAAACAAACAAAGACATACATCACACACATACATCATATATAGGTATACATATCTTTGGTACCTTGTAGCATTATAGCATTATACAATAACCATAAATATCATTCTTTTAGTTTACCACTTCTCCGTTACAGTTTCTAGTAGCGCATCCTATAGCTATTTTATACCATATTTCCATTTTACTTACACTTGGTCAAAATCCAACCATTTTAGCAACTAGTTTTCCCTATCTCCCCTTCTTGCTTTCTGTAAAACACATCATCTTAGTTTCTATTAAATTCATAGATATTGATCCTTTGTCCAACTTATTATTATCAGACCACACTCTCTACCCTATTTCAACCACAGTTTTCCTTAATGATAAAGTATCCTTATGTAGCATTGCAAAATAATATTTTATACCTAAAAGTACACCTTCCTGGTTCCACTTAGTTCTTACCACAATAACAGGACTGTTTTATTATAATCTTCCCCCTCCTCTATGAGGATTACTTTTAAATCAAATTACTACAGATCTCAATTATCTTCCAGTTCCCAACCAATACTTGTACAGACAGTTTCCCCATATAATAGTTCAACTTTAACAATTACACATTCCTAATTGGTTGTAATATTTCATATTGCTACATTCCATCTCAATTTCAAACTTATCCTTTATGCAAAACAATTGCCTCGAATAGTAGTTCAACTTCAACAATTCTACACTACTAATTAGTTATAATATTACATATTGTTACATATTGTTACATTACTCCTAATTCATCTTTCCATTCTTACCATACCCTAATACCACATATGGCTATCAAAGGCAGATACATCCCTTTTCTCCTACCTCCCCTTCCTTTCTCTAATTCTTCTTCTTCTCTTTCTACTTCTTTCAAATGCCAGAAGTTCTTAAATTCCAATTGTCTTAAGACCAAACTTTGCCAGGTCCCTTCCCACAGATAGATCATCAATCTTTTGTTGTACCTAAAGTTCTTCTTAAATCTTTTAAGTTTCTTCTTTTCCTTCCCCTGGCAAATTAAGATATGTCCTTTTCTCCATTGTTCCTTCTGGGCTGTCTTTAAGCTCCTAAACTTTTTTCGTTCATGTCGCTTTAATTCTTGGCTCTGAGGTTTCCCCTTCTTTACGAGAATCTTTGTTCTTATGTAATATTTAAAGTTCCATCTCACTTTCCTTAGCCCTCTTTTTTCCTTAATTAGTCCCTTTTTGGCAAATCGGTTTTTTTGTTGTGTTTTAAGTCTCGGACTATGCCGTTTTTTTGGTTGACTCCCCACAAGAAGTTCATGATCCTGTAGTACATCCTCTGCGTATAAGGCTTGGTTAACTAAGGGCTCCCTCTCCTGGTCAAGATCTTGCGGTTTTAACACAGGTGAACCTCGTTCCAGTCCCTCTTTATTATCTATCTCCTCCCGTGGAGCCTGTTGTTCTCCGAATACACTTTTAAACGTTGATATTACTGCTGAGGCAAATGCTTGTTTAA